CTCAATAAAGACTCGATTTCAGAGTTTTTTTACTCAATATATGTCGCTTTTTTTGAAATGCATTATTTAACAGTGTGGCTTTATGCTTTTTGATTTGTAACATGACATGTTTGTGTAGATGCGTTCAGTTTGTTATATTCCAAACTATATCTTGCAAATTCGTGTCTATTTAAGTTTGGTCCCACTTTTGCTGAATTTTTCACACTTCAGTCCCACTTTCCAGTTTGTCGCTGATTGAGCGTGCGAGGCTGATTTTTTTTTGCTAATTCGAGGTTTTTTCAATTTTTTCTTATTGCACTTTCTAGAGCTGCTTCTTATCAAGTTCTGGCTAGTGTTTGGGAAGCGGAGCCTTGCATCTGTTTAGTTTTCATCGTTTATGTTCTATTGTACTGTGATAGATTAATTGTCAGTTAGTGTTTCATAGTTGATTACTTTTGAGGTAGGCATTGGTACATTCTGAAATATAAAGTGATCTAAAAAAAGTTTGCGAATTAATCTGTGGCACACGTTGCTTCAATACTAGTGATCTCAAAAATAATTTGAGGATATGGTGTTCTAGTAATTCAGAAATTGCTCCTCTTAGTTCTGTCTTAAAATTACCAGACAATACAAACGGCCAATTTACCGACTTTCCGTCGTCAAGAATTGATCCAATTTTTCTACGAACATCAGTTTGCTAGCTATAGTTTTTTGTATATAGCCCCAAATGAGAATTTAACAGATTTCTTAGATATTTTGGCACAAAGACCCACCTCAAAGTGCATTGCTATCTGGTTCAGTATACAGCAGCAGGTTTTTCTTATTTTTGTCTCATGACTGCCACCACCTTGAGTGTTTCTTTTTCTAGAGAAGAATTGATTATAACCACTAACTAACCAACTTTGAATTTTACTTTCTGTTAACTATGTTTGAGTTAAACATATTACATTGGTTGGAGATTCAAGACTGAATACCAGTGCTTACAAGTCCTCTAAATGTTTTTAATCGAGCGACTTTTAATATGAAAGAGAAATTTAGTTTAACAATATTTGTCATTAGTCAACTCCTTCGGCGTCTGTGTTTTTGATGAGAAAGGGCGCTTCGTTAATTGCGCTCTTATGATTTTGTTCAGGCTCTGGCGTATCTCCTGAAAGTCCCATAAGATAGTTCGGTATCTTCTCTGTGTTTTCTTTTCTTGCCAGTAACATGTGGATACGTAAGCTTTCTTTTTCATTTGCTCCATCAAAGTGTCTTTCTCTTTAAGGCTGGGTAGACCAGTCGATAAGGATGGAGTTTAAGTTTTTCGGTTTCCTAAATAAGTTGGCCAATAGGCTTCTCAAGGAATGATTGGCAAATTGGTTTGTGGTGGGTTTTCAACTTTTTTCGGGGCCTCTGATTGAGTTCGGGAAAGCCGCGAGTCGACATCGTTTCTACTTCGATTTTCGACGTAAATTTCTAGCTTAACGGCGCATTTTTCTGTTACTGACTTGCTGTTTTTCCCTATTGCCATAAATGTGCGTTTTTAATCTGATCAGGGTAGTCTCTCATCGATAAAATGTATTTTCTATTGCACTTGTTGGTCACTCCTCTCAACATTCCTTCTCACCTCCATATAAAGTTCTTGTCCTCGAAATGGAGGAAGTTAATGATGACTGTGGCATGCTCTGCGTTTCGATTTACCAGTTTATTCAATATGCCGAGGCAATCATTGCTTTTGTACATCTCCAACTTCAGCACTTGGTCACTTAGCTCTGTGCATTTATTCTCCAAATTCACAATTTTACTCCAAACTAACAGTTTTTCCTTCTCAAATTGTAACTCACACATTTTGAGAAGAATCGGTGTTAGATGAGAGTTTTCTGCTTGTAAACTTCTATGGGCACTGTTCATTGAGTTTGAATCGGTAGACATTGCGATTATCTGAAGCTAATTCAGATATTGCGATTTTTTGAAGCTAAATAAGTTAATTGCAAGTTAATTAATAGTTAGGCTTGTTAAGACTTTTAAGTTTGAGTAACGAAAGTGAACTTGCAATTAATATAAATACTTAAATGTTTTCACATGGGTTCAACGCTCATTCTACAGAAATAGAAATTGGAATTCTTTTTGGAGGCACTAGGCTTATCGTTAAATTTTACAGTTTAAGATATGTTGTTATCAAACTTTTTTGCTTTTAATCATTCATCCATGTTTTCAAGGTCTGTCTCTTCATTTTCCGCAGACTTAAATGTTAAAGGAATATCATTAATGCATTAATATAAATAGTAAACAACAATGATACTAGGATTGAGCCCTGCGGAACACCACATTCATTCGCATTTGAATCTAAACTCACACACAATTTTTTGTATTTTAGTTTTTCGTGGTCGATAGTATTAAAGGCTTTTTTAATCCAAGAAAATAACTGTAACTTTTACCGGTTGATGTTGCCATTTTTTTTCTCGGTTCTTTCCGCTAATGCATCAATTGTGCTGAGCTTTTTTGCGGAAGCTATTTTGTTTAAACACGGCAGCTCAAGGTAGGAATACGCGCGATTATGCCTTGTTCGGTCGTTTTTTTTGCTCCATACACTAAGAGTAGATAAATGTTGGCAATTATTTTCAGCCGCTCTCGACATTTCTTTGAGTTGAGGAAACGCATTTGCTTTGTAAAGTTCTTTCGGAATCACGCCCTTCATAAAAGAAAGATCGATCTTAAAGACTAAATTTACTTATGTAGTCATCACCCGAGGAAAAGTTTTTATCTAAACTGTTGATGATATTCTATACTTCTACGGTATTGACGTTTTCTAGATACATCGAGAAAGGAATAATTCCACTTTTTGGCCGGATAGTTTTTGGAATGTCATTTTGAAGTGTTAATGAATGTGAGAAGTTACTAAACTTATTCGCTATAACGGATTCTGTGGGGTTGTCCTTGATTTCCAAATAAGAATGCTCTTGTGGAGTTTCAATAGGCGTTATTGTTTTGTCACTGATAAATTTTACTAGTTTATGAAATTGTCTTGAGTCTCTGATACAATGTTCAATTTTATTCTAATAAAATTGCTTTTTTTGGCTTCTCAGCTTTTTTTTGGAATTACGCTCTTCGGATTTTAAATTTAAAAAGTTGCCCGAACTCGAAAGCTGCGTTCTGTTTTCCCACCTCCTGTGAGCTGCATTTTGCTTGTGTCTCAGATTTTCGAGGCTGTTGGTGAACCAGATACCTTATGCGGTGCCTTAAAAAAAGATGTATCACGAAAAGGAGATTCTTCGTTTACACTAGCGCCAGCTTATTGTATGCTTGAGAACTTTTTTTTTCTAACCTAAGTCGCAAATAATGGTGCCACTTTTGGTGCACATTTACAGGTTTTTTAAAAAAGTCATGGGGCCTCTGATTGAGTTCGGGAAAGCACTTGCCGCGAGTCGACATCGTTTCTACTTCGGTTTTCGACGTAGATTTCTAGCTTAACGGCGCATTTTTCTGTTACTGACTTGCTGTTTTTCCCTGTTGCCATAAATGTGCGTTTTTAATCTGATCAGGGTAGTCTCTCATCGATAAAAATGTATTTTCTATTGCACTTGTTGGTCAGTCCTCTCAACATTCCGTCTCACCTCCATATAAAGTTCTTGTCCTCGAAATGGACGAAGTTAATGATGACTGTGGCTTGGTCTGCATTTCGATTTACCAGTTTATTCAATAAGACGAGGCAGTCATTGCTTTTGTACGTCTCCAACTTCAGCATTTGGTCACTTAGCTCTGTGTATTGATTCTCCAAATTCATAATTTTTCTCCAAACTCACAATTTTTCCTTCTCAAATTGTAACTCACACATATTGAGAAGAATCGGTGTTAGATGAGAGTTTTCTGCTCGCAAACTTCTAAGGGCACTGTTCATTGAGTTTGAATCAGTAGAGTTTGCGATTATCTGAAGCTAATTCAGATATTGCTATTTTTTGAAGTTAAAAAAAGAAAAAGAGTCAGTCATACAGCGTTCTTGAAAATCGAAGAGCTTAAAGTTTTTTCTTCGGAAGTTGAAAACTTTCCAAATAACATTTCCTTGTGTACTTTTTTTCAATTGAATGTTGGCTATTTTTTCTGGGCCAAAATTTTTTGTTGCAGCGAAATTTATTTGCGGTGCAATTTGCTATGTTCGTTGATTTGTGCAATGATTAGTTTTTTGGGCGACAATGGTTGAGGTTTGTAAAGACTTCCTAAGCTTATAAAATTATCCTAGTGATTTTAAGATAGTTAGGTTGTTATGCATGTTTTAAAAGCATATACAATCTTCTATTTTAGTCATGCAGGGGCGGATCTAGGATTTTCTCGAGGGGGGGGCGGATTTTCAAAATTTTGACGACCTTTTTTTTTTTTTTTTAGGTCGACCAAATTGATTTTTATTTTTCGCGCTCTCCTAAAGAGCACTGTTTTGCCCTTATTTTGGCAAAAATTTTCTTTTTCTGCGCCGCAGGCAATTTTTTTTGAAAAAACAGTCAAAAAAGCCGTTTTTGGGCACTTTTTGAAAAATTTTGACAAAAAAAATGCGTTTTTTTGGCGCGCGCTCCCCCTCAAAAATAGCATTTATTGGCGCCGAAGGCGCCTTTAGAAAAATTTTAGGGTCGGTCGGCCAAAAATGGATTTCTGAAAAAGTATCAAAGGGGGGACCCTTTGGGTCGGCAGGGGGTCAAATCCCTGAGGGGGGGGGGGCGTCCGCCCCCCCCCTAAATCCGCCCCTGTAGTCATGTAATTTTGCGGTTTTGAACCATGCATTTAAGCATTTTTCTTTTATGCTGTCGTTTCAGTATTTTCTCATTTTTTCCGATTGATGTTTTATTGCTGCTGTTCAAAATTGACGCGAAGCTCTGCTTCGCCTCTGTTGAAATTTTTAAACGAAAGTCAGTTTTTGCTAAGCCTATGTTTTTTTTAAATTTCATTCATATCAACTCTTTCATTTTACCGAATGCCTGTCTGTTCATTTTTTGCACTGGTTTGCCTTTGTTTCTTCTGCTCTTTTCTCACTTAGTGTCTTTATCTGATTTCAGAAAGTGTGAGTGAAGACGCAGACAGTAACTTCGGGGAGGGGGGCTGTCGCAGTGGGGCGGAAGGGCTGAGTGGGTATGCCACTGACACCGAGGGGGGAGAGCGGGAGAGCCAGTGGGATATGGAGAGTGCGAGGAACTTCCCCCCGGTAAGGAGGAGGAACAGGATGATACACAACCCATCCGCATCCGCCGGCTTCCCTTTCCCTCTGCTGGAGGAGGGGAGTGTCCTACTTGGCCAGAATTATTCTCCGGGGCCCTCTTTCGTCATCCGAGAGGTGAGTTTGTTTTTTTTTATTTTTTTTATTTAACTTCTTATTCAGTTTTTTAGTGTTTTTTGAAAGGTGCAAACATGTTTCGTCCAACGACAGATAACGCTATCTGAAACTTCATCGGGCGTGCTTTTTTTCTTTTTTTTCTGAATTTGAGGTCCTTTCATCTTTTTACATAAGGGCTTACCCTTCATTGAATCAGTGTATATTAATTTTAGCCGCTCTACTTGTTATTCACGCTGGGGTCACGTGCTTTCATTCCCGACCAGCTGGGCTTGAAGAGAGTGAGTCCGGAGGTGACCAATGTCTCCGCCGGCTCAGTGCCTCTTCGGGACGGCGAGCATGAGTTTGACGCAGTTGATCACGTGATCTCGTTCAATGGACACATTGTGGGATACGCTCTCTCGCCCGATCACAGGTGGGATGCAAAAATTGATGAAAAGTTCTGAAAGCTGAATATTCCCAAGTTTGGAATATTTCATAGTGTTTGTGTCGGTTGGAAACTTTCCAATAATATGTTTTACGCATTCCATTTTGTTGTGCGTTTCATATTACGAATCTATTTTTACACATGTGAGCTAGCGAGTCGACTTTTTTTCCAACCCATTTGGTGGCTTTTTGCTGCATAACAGTGGCAATTATTTAGCCTCTGTTGTAACGAACGCTTTATTGGCGTCTAGTATTTGCGGATTGTCAAGCGACCATGACGCAGAAGTGAGCACGTGTGACTCTTAGTCTGGAAGCACACGGGATCGATTCCGCCTGACTGCAGAAGTTTTTTAAGGCTGATTTAGTCTTTTCAGTCCTTTTTACAATGAGAGCCATTTCTTGTTGTTTTCTAGCTTGTATTTCGTTTCAGTGTTAAGTTTGAAATGAAATATTAATTGGGTATGATTTAACTGTTAATTGGAATTGTTTGATCACGATGACTTAGATCAAACAAAATTTTCTTCTGCTTCGTTTAAAATTTGATTTAAATAATTAAGTTATCATTTATGCAGCTCAAATTTGGTTTAGATACGCCTACGTCAATGTGCGCCACTGGGTATCTGAAACACCCAACTTCGATGACCCCCTCAAACCGCCTCCCATCTCGCAGACTGTGTCGATGCATGTTGTGGACCTGGTCACTCAGCAGCTGTTGCCTCTGCCTCCCTTCACCGGCCACAAGGCATTCACGCCTGCAATCGAGTGTCTCTTCCTCTTTCTCGACGTCAGCCAAAACTTTGTGGCCAGGTGCGTATGTTAATCTCAACTCAAATGGCAATTAGCCGAAGGCGGTGAATGACAATGAGACGGGTCTGATCTAGACTGTGAACTTAATAACGAGTAAAACAAATAAAATGAAGACACTTTGGAGGTAAACGAATAATTGCATCTGAACTTGCTTGCTCTCAAATCGAACAAAAATAAGACTTACTGCTGTAACAAAGTGTGATTCAAAACTCGGCTAAAAATTTTCTTCCAATTGAGCGCCTTGCTCCTGCTTTGTTTGCTTTATTGTCTCTTATAATTGTCTATTACGTTCGTTGTCTGGATCAGACCCGTCTCTTTGTAATTCACCCCGAAGGCCAAGCGGAACCAAAACGTTTTTTTTTAAATGGTGCCTAACTCTGAGTTGTCTATTGAGAAAATTGAAAGCAAGATAAGCGAATGATTGTCTCGTTAGAATGTAAGAAGGTTTTAACAGATTCTCTAAACAGGTTCAAAAACGGTGAAAGTTCGACTATTTATTTTTATAGAACACATTTATAATGAAGTCGGGCACAGTCGGTCTTTGAAGTTTGTGCAAAATGTTATAATACGAGGCCACATAATCTCAAAGCCAAGAGCTAATGATTCTGTCTATTCATTTCTTGATTCTTCTCGGTAAATATATCTAGTTTGCGAAATTGCTCGTTTTTAAACTAGTTAATGCTTATGTTTGTGTATCTAAATGGTAACGAAACGCAGGTTTGCAGCTCGTCACGGAGAGGTGCGAGTGTGAGTTAGTGAGGTGATATATTTTTTCCCACACACAGAGCTGCTGTTTTTATTTACACAGGCGAAGCGTAGTGTATTATTACGAAGAATTTTTTTTCCAACTAAGTCGCAAATAAAAGTGCTCATTTGGTGGAACTTTTGGTATATCTCAATTTAATAATATTTAAGCATAAACACTTCAATGGCATATATTACTGCTTTATTTCTGACTAGTGTTAGGTCCTGTTTGAAAAAAAAAACATGTATTATGTAAATGTATGGAATTTGTTGTTTTTCTTTGTTTTTCAACTCTCTGGAAATTTTTTGCACTTTTCGCGGAAATTTCAATTTTTCTCAAAAACTACTACCGTTTTTCAAAAAAAAAATGGTGCAAATGGACAAACAAGCTGCTCTTTTTTGTGCCTACATAATTAGCTAGTCTCTTTTTATTTTACCCCACGTTCTACGGCCCTCGAAATTTTCAATAGGGGGATTTCTGGCCAATTTTTTTCGAATTCTTTCATTTTCTCAAGTATTTCATGCACAATTCGGAGATGGAGGTTTCAATCAAAAGAACAAATTATGCGGCTATTCCCTAAATTTGGCCGAAAATAGCTATGGCCTCTAACCAGCCGATTTTTTTTTTTTGACATTTTGGTTAGTTTTTAAAACTCTTCTCTTAAAATTCACCCTGCCAAATCGGATATTAAGGGTTTAACCGAAAGAAAAATCAATCATGCGAATCTTACCTGCGCAAGTGGCTATGACCTGCTTTTAAAAATATGTGTTGCCTTAAAAAAAGTCCAATTTTTGAAATTTTTCCCGTTTGATGAAAAGTTTTTTTTTTCCAAAAATTAACCTGCTGGTTCTGAGGTTGATAGTTCATTTAAACTAACATATGTCTTAGAGTTTCCCTGCGTTATTTGTTTTACCCTGTTTTTGTTCGTAGAAAAGCTGTTATGGACTTCGGAATAATTCCTTTTTAAATTTTTATCGTTGTTTGAGATCTTTCCTCACTATTCTCGAAAAGTACTAGCTAAATCTGATACTGAAGGTTCAATCTGAAAAATCAGCGTGTGGAAATCTCCAATCTAAAAGTCAGGATGAGGAAAGCAGAGGCTATTCCTTCCTCTAGTTGAAAAAGTTTATGGATTTCTAAATCTGAAATAAAGACTTTAATTGAAAGAGCGAGTAGTAGTTTTCTCCTTTAAATAAGCGGTTAATCCCCTACTTAAGCAGAGAAACATTAGAGATTAGCGTAAAGTTCATGTTCTGAAATATTGAAAAATACGCATTTTCTATCAGTGCCTTAGAGAGAAAGTGTAATTGTTATTGGGAACTAGATGATTTTTCTTTTTAGCAGCTTTTACAAATCTGTAAGTTGACCTCGGTTTTCATGAAATCTCAGTGCAATCCAAGACTTTCCTTTTTGGTCTTGTGGTAAAATACGTGCCTCGTAAAATGCACACCTCCATTCAAAAAAATCTTAGCAAGAACTTGAAACATATCGAAATGAGGGTCCGACCGTGACTCAAACCCAGACATTTGTCGCCCAATGCACGCATTATACCACTTAGGAACGCCGGACCATCGTTTGCCTGTCATTTTTGTCGGCTTTATTTCCATTGTGTAGATTTTTTGTCGTAGACCTATGATTTTTCAGCAAAAATTGTTTTGTTTTTACTTTTAAATTTAAGATCTTTGATTTCGAATACGTTCTTTTTAAATGTGGTTCCTGTTTTGCTTATATTGGCATAGTTACCTCAAATTGTGTCTTTTTTATGTACTGATATTTTGGGTTTCGTGTTTTTTGCTCCGCTTGTTTTAAGAGTAATGAACATGACAGAGAACTTCCGCTATTGAACAAAGAAGTGTAAAGGTAACAAAAAACATGATCAATTTCTAGTTTCGAAAGAGGAATATAATTTTCAGATCTCCCAAGGAAATAAAAATTGTACTAATTTATCCAGTTTTCTCAAATCGGGCCGATTTTATGAAAAAATTGCAATCATAAATTGTTCCATAAATTCAGAGAGCTTTAAAGGCATCTGTTTTTTTTATTTTGAATTTCGAAAGTGAGTTTTTTTTTCAAAAAACAAGTCATTATTTTTTCTGTTTACTTGCGTTCCTTGACTCTTTTTCATCTGTATGTTGACTACGTTTTTTCAAAAAAGTATTAAAAATTTTGTAAGCTCAACTTTGATTTCTAAAGAGTAATGAACGCAGTGAAGACACACTCACATATAGGTCCTGGTGTTTTTATAAGGAAAGTCTTAAAATCTGTTCACGCTTAATTTTAATTTTTTTTGCTGTATGACTTGTGATTTGTTTATAAGTTCATTGCAATTCTATTGTTAAAAGGAAGGCAAGCTCCCTTATCGAACAGAAAAAGTGTGAGGGTCACGAAAATTGTGATTGAATCGACTTCTACTTTTGAATTTGGAATTTCTTTATCAGATTTGCCAGCGAAATAAACTCTTTATATATTGATCAATTTTTCTCAAATTGGGTTTATTTCATTAAATAATTGTCAAACATAAATTGTTCTAGAAATTCAAAGAGGTTAGAGGTCATCTTTTTTCATCGGAATTCAAAGGCTAATTTTTTTTCGAAAAAAAATGACTCAGTTTTTTTTCTTTGAACTCTTTTCCAACTGTCAGTTGGCTATGTTCGTGGTTTGACTTCTGATATATTTTTAAGCTAAGTTCATTTCCTTTCTTAAAAGGAAAGCAAACTCAACTATCATACAGGAAAAATTTACGAAAATGCAATTTAATTATCAGATTTCCCAGCGAAATGAAAATTTTGCCTATTGATCCATTTTCTCAAATAGGGGTCATTTTTATCAAAACGCACCAATCATAAATTGTTCGTGAATTTCAAAAAGCTTGAGGGCATATTACTTTTTTCCAACGGACAGTTGGCTGTTTTAATTTTTTGATGGCATTTTGTTAGCTTTCAGTGAACGTATTGACGGCTTAATGAGCGCTCGGTAAGCTATAATAAATACTTATTTCTTTCCTGAAATTTAAATTCGTTTGCTGCCTGGAAGGCGAAATTTTTTCTGCAATAAGAATAGTGCCTTTTTTTCCAATAACAAGTTGTGTTTAGCGGGTTTGTTTTATTGAGAGCTTAAAGGTGATATATTATGTGAATTGGGAATGAAGGATGTTGGTGCTTGAAACTTTTACCCAATCACTCTTTTAGGGTGAGGAATAAACTGCAGCACGCAGAATTTTGGGTCACGAAGTGTTTTCGGATACGATATTTTAGTATTTTCTAAAAGCCTTTGGTGTTGCAAATTGGATTCAGAAAATGATCTCAAAGTGGTCTTTGGCGAAATTGCTGGCCTGACTGTCAATACTACGTCTCTGATAATATATGATGTTGTACTATTAGGGAAAGTCATAGCCTGTATCGCGCTTAGAAAAAAATCCCAAAAAATTAGATAAATCGAAATGATGTCCAATTTAATTAAAAGTACCTTTTTAAGAAAGACAACTCTTAGACGTGACAGAATGGCTAAGAAACAATGATATTAAAAACTCATTGTCAATTGAAAATACCAGGTATAACACCCAGTAGAAAACCGGCAATTGACTTCTACTAAAAAATTGTCGTTCACTGAATCATTTTAATGCACGAGAAACAGAAGTCCTTATTACCCAAAGAAATGTTTTGTTTTCATTCATTTCTTAGATTCAAATTAATTCCAGTATGTGCATATAATTCAGCGATAGTAACAATCGATACTCAAATATTAATATATTTTTTTCGTTAATTTTGATCCCACCTAGAAGACTTTTTTTTTAGCTCAGTGATTTTTTTGTTTTGTGTCAAGTTATGGGTCTTAAAATACGAGTTCACCTTCTCCCAACCAAGGTCGCACATTTTCTGCGTTGTATATTTGATTTGGGATTTCTCAATAACTAGTGCTTATAAATTGTGCTTGTTTTAAGGTAATTCTCAATAGAGCGTTGGTTTAAGGAAATGGTTCTAAATGAGGTATTCCGGGTTCAAATCATGTTATCGCCAGATATTTTTGTTTTCGAGGCTTTTATGTTCAGTCATATTTTCGTATTTTCTTGCATATTAAAGCTGCTTTCAGCTTCAAAATTGGATTCTAATTTCATGAATACCTAAAAATTTAGCTCAAATTAAATTAAAAAACTTGCCATGAAAAAATGTATTGATAATCGAAAAACATCAATCATTGAAATTAATTGAAATTTGAGGTTGAAGATCTCTAATATGACAAAATGTTCTCTATGAAACTCGGAAGTGTCTTGTCCAGGTTCCTTGAGTTACTTGCCGCAATTGCAACTTTCTTTCTTCAATATTTTGGCTGAAATTGTTTTCAGGTTTGTAATGTTACGAACGCTTTTAAGTGGCGCGGGTCGTCCTAATTCCTGTCGACTTTGTTTTATGTACGGACGATACAAGTACCGAAGTTTTCAATCAGTCCGACTCTGCTCCAATCTGGCCGACAAGCTGGAAGTTTTGTCCGAGTTCTCATGTCACATTCAACCCGTGTCCGGAACAGAAATATCTTCGCCTGGACAACTAACAAAGCCGGATAACCGTCAAATCTTAAATGTTTTTGATCAGTTTCGTAAAAATGAGTTGGTGGCCGAGCTAGCCTACGAACAAGGAATGTCCGATAAAATATTCACAACGTGTCTGAAAAAATTCCAAAGCTATTTGACCGATTCGACTGTCCTTCCTGAAGATATTAATTTCATTTTAAATGACATTGTTGCCGGGTACAGATCGCCTGATGACATTTTCCCCTACTTCCTTCAGCACAGCAAACGAATTTACCCCGTTTTGAGCTGCTTTTCCGATTTGCAGAAGATCACCAATTTAACAAATCCCGCCAACTGGTACCCCAAGGCGCGTGAAATGAAGCGCAAAGTCATTTTTCACGCCGGTCCAACTAATTCTGGCAAAACATACGGCGCTGTTCAGTCCTTTTACGCATCGGAAAAAGCACTGTACGCGGCGCCTCTAAGATTGCTTGCAACTGAAATCTACATGAAATGTGGCGATAGGGACATCAATTGTGATCTGATCACAGGCGAAGACCAACGATTCGTGAACGCTGACAGATCTTCATGCGGGCACACAGCATGTACAGTTGAAATGGTAAACGTGAACGAAACCTATGACTCTGTTGTCATAGATGAAATTCAAATGTTGAAAGATGAGCAAAGGGGTTACGCCTGGACACGTGCACTCCTAGGAGCTGCCACGAAAGAGCTGCACGTTTGTGGGGAACCGGCAGCCGTGAATTTAGTTCGGGATTTAGTTGAGACTTGTGGTGATGAGTTTGAGGTGCATGATTATGAGAGATTAACCCCTCTGTGTTTCGAAGACAGGGCCTTGGAATCCTGGAGCGAGGTTCAAAAAGGCGATTGTATCATTGCGTTTGGACGGAATGCACGATTCGCGATATCAGCTCAGTTGGATAAATTAGGAGTCAAGTATGCCACCATATACGGAGCGTTGCCCCCGAAGACGAAAATAGAGCAAGCGAAAGCATTCAACGATCCGGATTCAGGAGTTGACGTTCTAGTTGCATCCGATGCCATTGGCCTGGGATTGAATCTCGAAATCAGACGCATAATCTTCAGTCAAGTAGTTAAAGCAAACAGAGAGTTGCCGTCTGGAATCATGAAAAGTGAAAAGATTCCTCAAGCATTAGCCAATCAAATCGCAGGTCGAGCCGGTCGATTCGGAAGTGCCTATGATTTTGGCCATGTTACCGCCTTTGGCCATAAAAACCTGAAAACATTGAAGGAAATCGCTGGCGGTCCCGTTGAAGCTATCAAAAAAGCAGGAATTGCGCCAACGGCTGAACAAATTCAATTGTTTGCGTATCATCTACCTGAGTATAGTTTGAAGCAATTGCTTGAAATATTCAATCGTTTAGCTCAAACAGACGAGAACTTCTTTGCGTGTCCGTCCTTTGAGTTCAAAGATATCGCGCAGCTTCTTGAAGACATTGACATGTCGTTAATTGACAAGTATACGTTTTGTCTTGCACCCAGCAACGTCGGCAAATCGGCTTTTGAAGCGAGTATGATGCTGAAGTACGCAAAATACTACAGTAAAGGAAGACCCGTTCGTGTGGGCAGCATTAAAAACTGGATCAGATGGCCAATACAGGTCCCGCAGAACCGAGGTGCGCTGGAAAGTTTGGAAAATGTAGTGTCGAGTCTTGAAGTTTATCTTTGGCTGAGTTTCAAGTTTCCTTCCATTTTTGACGACTACAGCGCTGTTGTTGATTTGACCAACGATGTCTCCAAACTGATCGATAAGGGACTGGAAAAACTGAAACTTTGCAAAATTTCGATGCCGGTTGTGGAGAAGAAAGGAGCATTTGTTGCCCGTGCTGAGAAGCTCAAAAAACCTCGAGCTGTTAAATCAGCTTTGCAAACTTTACAGGCTGAATTAAAAGAAAAATCTGGGAATAACAAACTAGACGGAAACGATCAAGCTGCTGTTATAGTAGAAAATCAAACAGATAGTCTTTCGAAGGTGATCGGAAGCAGGGTTGGTTATTCCAAGCAAAACCGAATGAGTAAATGGTCTGAGGATGATGCACAGATTCTAGAACCTCATAATTTTCAGGACATTGAAACTACTAAAAGTAACCTATCGATTGAAAAGTTTCAGGACAATTACGGAGTTTTAAACGCAAACAAAGTCAGGAGTTTTCATTGTGGCGATCCTCCCAGAATCTTCGGACGCATTCGACGAACGAACGCCAAATATCTACAGCATGATCTGAAAGCACTCCAATATTACATGATGGGCCAACCTGGTCTTCTCAGAGAAAGAGTGGATTTAATCTTGCAGCTCGCACTGCAAGATCAAATGGATAAATCACAGTTTATCAAAACTCTTGCAAGATGGCATTCAATTGAGCTGCTCACATGGTTTATGTTTCGGTACCCCCAGTTGAAATGCAAATATGAGGAAGTGCTGCAGAAGAAACAAAAGTTTGAAGCTGTTTTGGAATCATTTGTCGGCAGTATGTACTTCGAGCATTTTAAACTACTCGACAGTGAAAGCAAGCCAGCGAGTCATTCCGGTGGGTCTCATCTTTTAGGTTACTGTCTCAAGAAAAGCAGATTTTTATTGGATCAATACAACAGCTCTGGCTTTTTGGACACTGAGGGGTATTATTTCGATCGAAACTGGTTTGAAGCAATGCTTTCAAAGACACTTCATGATCCTAGGTGCAAAAATGGATCTTCGATTGACGATGCGTTTCAGTTTTTGAAAGTGTTAAACAAGAATGCTTATTATCTGTTTCCAGAGTGCGAGCCGGAAAACTTGATAAAACTGGAAAACGAAGTCAGGGAGATGTATTCTGCTATGCAACGAAATTATATTGCATCTGAGCTTCATCGTTACACTGACAAACCATCTGATCAATTAGACGACGTTGAATTGGCAGAAAGTGGAGGTGCTCGTGGTCGGTTGCTTCCTATAGGCGAATACCAGAGTGATAGCATTCGAGAGTCCAAGTCTTTGGAGGACTTGGAGGACATAGACAAAATTGCCTCGGAAGTGTTCAGTAGAAAAAATCCCTCCCGTGTTTTTGACAGCATCAAGTTTCAAATTATATCAATGATGAGTCATTTAGTTCATGCTATGCAAAATTGTCTGTTGTGCATGCCTGATCAGTTTAAGAAATCGGTTGAAATTGCTTTGAAAATAGACACTGACAGACCTCCGAATACAAATGGAAGATTGAGAAGGTTTTTGTTGTGGTGGCACCGATATGAATTAATGCTTTGGTTTATGAAGCGGTATCCCAAACATAGTTTCAAGGCACTTGAGCTAAAACAAAAACAGCATGAGTTAGAAACGCTTGTTCAACCGTATGTCCCTGAGAACTATTTCGAAAAATTCAGAGTCAATGATGACTCGGTAACAGCATCGGCAAACGAAAATGGATCTCACCTGCTAGGCTCGTGCCTGAAAAGAAGTCGTCAATATTTTCAGTTCTATGAAAGCGCAGATGAAGTTTCTAGAAAATCAATGGCGACTGCCTTCTCAAATGAATGGATGGAAGAAAAACTCAAGAAAACTTTGAAAAATCCGCCCAATTGTTCAACCCGAGAAGCTGTTTCAGAGTCTATAGAGTTCTTGAAGGTTTTGAATAAATTTGCATACTTCGTGTTTCCGAAATCGGATCCGATAAATTTGAAGCAGATTGAAAATAGACTTCTGGAAGTAGAAGCTACACGTAAAAACGAATATTCCATTTCGGAAGAAACGGTTATTAAACCAGAAAATGTGAACGAAGTGGTTCAATCTTTGCCAATATTGCGTCGCATTTCGTCTTTTTTCGTATCGAAGTTCGGCGGAAAAATCTCCGAGAGCGAAAAGCAGAGTTCTAGAATTGATTGTTCATTGAACGAGAAGAACGAGGAATCTACGCGTTCAAAAAGAGTCTCTAAAAGGCGCCGGAGAGCTAAGAGAGACAGAGGAAACCAGAAATTTAAATCAAGACCTTGAAAACTGTCCTTCGAAATTTAACTGTCAAATTTGAATGTTTTTCAAAAATTGCCTCTGATTGTATGTGAGATTGCTGTGGTCGCAAGTTTCACCACAAAAATGACAAGCATTTGTGAAGTTCTGTATTCGACGTTTAAAAGATTAGAAATTTTGGATCTCTTCAAATTTTTCCCTCCTTTTGCAAAAGGGGGGATATTCTTTAATAGGTATGAAATTCGCATGCTTAACCGTTGAATTATTTCATTATAGGGGTGGCAATTTGTTACTACGAACCAAAGGGGGGGAATAGATCAAGAGATCCGAAACTTCATAATAATTTGGTTCAATTCAATCAATTAAAATGCTTTCATTTCAATTTGTCTCATTAGACTTTTCTCAAATAATAGTGAGTTTCTTATAATGACTGAACATATAGTAAATTTGCCAAACCAACAGATTCGAAAATTGATATAAATTGAGTTTTGGTCCCGTCAAAATTAAGCTACGTCACCAGTTAATTTTGTTGAGCATATCCACGAGGTTTTTGTTTTCCTTTGAAGTCGTTCGCTTTTCAAGTTTATTTTCAAAGCGGAGCTCTAATGACGATCTGTTAAATCAAAAGGGAAAATAGTGCCGTTTTTTCAACACGTGCTTTTTTCCGGCGAAATGAGTAAATTACTTTTGATTCGTTTTTACTTTTGATAAACGAAGCGAGTTTTCACCTACTGAAGAAAGTCGTGTCTTTTTTTAAGTCTTAACGCGCTTTTTTAAGAGTCGATGAACGTAATTTAGACTCTTATAAAAGTCATGATAATTTTTAAAATTTTTTGTTAGACTCAAATTTACTTTTTCTACGTTTCACTTTTCGACTTCTAATTTTGACAGTGAATTTTTGTTTTCAGATATCCCAACGAAACGTAAATTCTTTTTATTGACCCAGTTTTCTCAAAGTGGGGTAATTTTATCAAAAAAGTGGCAGCATAAATTGTTCTACAAATTGAAAGAATTTTAAGGGCAATTGTTTGAAATTCGAAAGATGACGTTTTTTTCAAAAAATACAGATAGTATTTTATATTTGCTGCCGTTCATGAAATCTTTTCCAATTTTCTCTTGGTCATGTTTAGAAGATTTAGCTTTGAAAAACTATGGTGGGGTGCTCTCAGGGTACACTCGGGGGGTTGCAAATATGGCTTTCAAATATGACTGAACAGAATCTTGGAACAGCCGAGATTTTGTGTACCTAGCACTTGTTTTTGCGACCTCTACTTTGCGTTTTTCAGTTTTCGAGATACGACAATTGTACCTATTTTTTGAAAAGTTTTCAGTAAACAAAAGAATTTTTTTTCAATTAAAACTGGTTGGTGTTAGAACTTTTCAAAAATTCGTCCTAATAAGAAATACTTCGTCACATCGAATCGTTCGCAGTGAAAGGAGACCTTAAAGTGTAGAATTTTTGAAGAATTGAACTTAATTGACTGATAATATATCAAAACTATATTCAACAAGCGCTCGACTAGCATCTACGATGCTTCAAATAGTTTGTTCTACAGAAAAAGCGTCCTAAATTTGATACCAGAAACAACGAAATTTAATGCAACCGGAAATTTGAATTCGGCTTATCCATCAAGGTTTTCTATTTGATTAAATGAGCGGTTTAAAAAATCAAATTTTGAATTAAATTTCTCCATAATGAGTTTTTATCAGATATGGGAAACTTTGTTTCATTAATAGGACCCTTACAATCCGGCAGCATACAACTGCTTTTACCAAATTTTTTTTCAAAAAAAGTTCGATAGTTCTAACATCAGCCAGATTTTTATTGAAAAAAAATCTTTAGTTAACTGAAAACTTTTTAAAAAATAATTACAGTAAACAAATCTCGGAAACCGAAAAATTCTAATAGAAGCCAAAAATTAGAAGTGCTAGGTACGCAAAATCTTGGCTGTTAAAAGGTTTTGATCAATCATATTTGAAGGCCATATTTGCAACCCCCGATTATACCCTGAGAGCACCCCACCATAGGTCTGAAAGTATCAAGTTCTATTAGTTCTTCAAATCTAAATCAACTTTATTGACTGATTGATAAATCAGTCAATTCAGTTGATTTTATATTGTTCTGTAGCACTTTTCCACTTAAAGGTTTTCTTTCACTTCGAATAATTTGGTGTGACTAAGTATTTGTTATTAAGTCGAAGAACGTAGTGAAGACATATGTAGGTCGTTTCGATCTATCTGTTTTTATAGAAAATGGTCTTAAATTTTGTTAAAGCTCAATTTTGATTTTTCGCGATTTGTTTTTCGGAAATGAAAACAAACTCCACTTTCGAACAGCGAAAGTATCAAAGTAACGAAAAACTTGATATACTTCCATGTTGAGTTATCAAATTACCCAGCCAAATAAAATTTATACCTATCGATCCAGTTTTCTCAAATTGGGATAATTTATCAAAAAAGTGTATATAATAAATAAATAAATCTAGAAATTCCAAGAGCTTTACGGCCATATATTTTTTCTTGAAAGTTTGAAAATCGAGATAAAAACAAGTCAGTTTTAATTTTTGTTCACTTGCGTTGATTGACTCTTTTCCATTTGTCTATTGGCTATGTTCATTTTTACGGGCTGTCTCACAAAAGTGTTAACACCTTAATCAGAAATATTTTATTTAGCTTTTGGTTTGACGTTGAATTAGAGCTATATAGTGCTGCTGTGGTAATAGATCATAAAAAAACTTTGCTCAAGTTACTTTTAAAGACCGACTGTCAGACATACGGTATTTTGAAGAAAAGTTTTTCGTTTTCTTTATTAAACTGAATCAAATAAGAAATAATTTCCACGTGATGATATGAAAGACCGACTTTTGGCTTCAATTTTAATTTATCAGCATAAGATGAGAAATGTTTCTTAAATTATGAGTTTTGTTTTAGTGGAGCTGAGAACAAGCAGGGGTACATTTGGGATCGACACTACCGATGCTTCCTTGGAACCCTACCCCATAACGATGTGGTGTCGGCTGTCGTGTTCAACCCGGTCGACCAGGAAATGGCTGTCACTGTCAGTGACGACCACACCGTTAAAGTATGGCGCTCGAGAACTCAAATGCGAAGGCTGAGGAAACTTCAACCAGAGAAGTTCAGCGTCCTTCGTCCGGACACTTCGGTGCTGGAAAGTTCGACTGGAAACCCAGAACCAGTTCCCTGTTCCAGTACGATGTTGACTGCGGGGCTTCATGATGTCCAATTGACAAGTGGCCCAGTGAGACGGTCCTTTACTCAAAAGACAAGTGAGACCTCTGAAAGTGATGTTTTGTCAGATTAGAACAAGAAATTAAGTAGCTGTAGATCAAAAAAGAATTTAGATTTGTATTGAAGTCCTGAGATTGATGTTAATAATTCTAAGTTTTATCGAAGCAGTTACTTTTACAAAAGTGCTCTTTTATCTGGGATAGGGTTTCATTTCAGATTGTTTTTCTAATTCAGCATTTTGACCGTTGCATGGTCTTGAAGTTTTTTGAAAATCAAATTGATTTCAGTTCGTGTTTTCTGCTGCTGAAACATGAATATTTCTAGAATGGCATCTTTTTAATCAAAGAAATTTGAGAGCGCTCAACATAATAATTTGTTGTATCTATTCTATCTAAACCGCTGTTGTGCTGTCATTTTTGTACTAATTGATACTTTCTTTATTGAAATCGACTTTTTTCCTTGGCAATTAATTAGTTCAAATATGCTTTCGATCTCGCTTTTTGACAGTCTTATGTCAAAAATTGCACCAATTGTAGGGACCTTGCTTCATCGAATGAGGCCAAGAGGAAACATTAAAACTGAAGAAGTCTACTCAGGAAAGCACATTTGACATATTCAGACAAAAAATCAGTAATTGATGTATGTCAGTAGTGATGAAACTGACCAGATCGATTCTTGGAAATTGAACCAAGCATGATGTTGACTATGACAATAAAAGGTTTTTCGTTTCATTTTTTCCTAATTGGATAAGATTTTAACGGCCCATTGAGCTCTCACATTTAGATATAGACTCTATTGAGGACTTAATATTAGAGGTTCAATTAGGCAATTATTTTGAAATGGAGTTGCAACAATTATGCTTTTATTTTATCTACAATTGAGTCTGAATGAATGACAATGGCCGCTTTTTAAGGATGAATGTAAGCTTCTTTTCACTGAATGGTCGGATGGATTATATAATTGTTTTTTCAATTGTGCTAAATATGTATGAATCAGAGAGAAACCTTCTTCTAATATGAAATAGAACAAGTCTCGGGGCAAAATGGGAGAAGGGATTTTTTTTGGGTAGTGTTAAGGTTAAATTTGTTTTGCGTGGGTTTTCTAGTTCGCTAATTCAAATGTTCATTTGTTAAGTTCCGTAGAAATCATAAATGTAATTGTTCCTACCTTTGAAGATATGGAGTAGCTTTGAATCGAGTCTTTTTTACAAGCAAACTGAGGGACCTTAAAGAAACATCATACCAATGTCAGTGAAAGGCCGTATTGATGCCTTTTTTAAAAATTGAAATGTGTAAATTGAGTCCATGCGAAATTCATTTAGAAGAGTTATTTATTTACAATAGTTAGTTATATCTGAAGTTATTAAGCGTAAAAGAATGAAGTGACTTTCGTTTATCTAGATCTTGATGATTGTTTTTGTTTTTTTTTTGAGGAAAAAGGCTTAAAAATTGATCACGCTCAAAATTGATTTTGTGCGGGGTTTGACTGGTTTCATGATTTCTTTTGATTTTTGTTTCATTTCGATCAGCACTATCGATCAGCAAAAGTAAAAAATTAGCCAAAAACGATTTAGGCTTCTAGATTCAAAAATGGGCTTTAATCTTTCCAGCAGAATAAAAAAATTATTCTATTGATGCACTTTTATCTAAATGGGTCAACGAAACAAAAAACGCCAATCATAAGCAGTAAATTTTTCTCTTCAAATAATTTTATTTGAAACAATATCTAAGTGACCAGTTTAAACAAAAATAGAAAGAAGAATATTTTCGTAACAAGTATCAGGCATCCAAAGTTGTATAGATCAGTAACCCGAATAAGCAGTAATTGAATTTCAAAGATTGTCAAGGTGATCGATTTTGTTTCTTAGGAAGTTGAAAAAAAACATGATTGGTTTTTTTTAACTTTCCAACTGTCTGTTAGCAAATTTTAATTATTTCATAACGTCTCCTAAATGGAAATTGAGCCTAATCGAAATACAAAAGATTATCATGCCGTTTGTGTACGATTAAAAAAGAAATCATTTTCTGTTTCAAAAATAAACGAGTACATAGGGAAATGAGAGTAAGAGTGTTTTGCGTAGCGTAGAGTTTTTTCTAGTTTTTTAAATCAGTTGCGAGACTTTGAGTTCGGTCGAAATTTTACGCGTTTTTGGTCGTACTATTGAATTTGTGGAGCAGCTTTCAGACCGAGTGCATCTTAAGAGCAAACTGAGGGACAATGAAAAAACATGACGATGTCATTGATATACCAAATTGAAGCTGTTTTTTTTTAGATTGCAATTTGAGTCAATACGAAGCTCATTTTCTGATAGCCATGTATTACATAATTAATACTTAAGAAGTAAATTGTTAGTTATTTCGCTGACCCACGTAAAACATGAACATTAAACCCAGCGTTCCTGCAAAAAAATCAAAATACAATGAAATAAAGTTGTGGCAATTATGGATGATTCAAAGAGAAACCAGCTGCTTCAAAAATGAACAAGTTCAGGGGAAATGAGAGAAGGATTATTGGCGTAGTGTTGAGGTCGAATTTGTTTGGAGTGGTCTTTTTTAATTCTTTAAATGAGCCCTGCGAGATTTTGTTTTTCAGTTCCGTCAAAATTTTAAGCGTTAGCGTTCCTTCCATTTCGTTTGTGGAGTAGTTTTGGATTCCAGTGTTTCTTACCTGCAAACTGAAAGACTAATAAGAAGCGTCATAGCCTTGTCTGTGATAGATCATAATGAAGCCCGTTTTCAGAGCGAGAAAACGAAAATGAATCATTTGAAGTTAAATGTACGATATTCAACTCTCTATTTCTTTTTGTTCCCGCCGGCCCCCGTAAATTGAAAATGAGCCCACTCTGCCTCGTCCAAAACATTAAAGATACAATAAAAAACAAAATAATGGCTGTGAGTCAATTGTTTTCAGCCATTTTCGACTACATCAAAGATAATTCGTTTGGTTAGTATCAAGTTTAATTCCATTCAGTCGTGATTCAGATTCGAAATGCTATCTAAGTGTCTTGAAACAATTGTCTAATTTTTCGTTTTCAGACTAAATGAAACGAAGTTTTCAAATGACAGGATGAGAGACTGAACTCTCAATGAATCCTATTGCAATTTTTATATTATTTTATCTACCAATATCTCAATTTGCATTTTTAACCTAATTCAACAGCCGCTTGCAGCAAAAAAAAAACAACTAACATTTGGGAAAATTTAAATAAAGGTCTGATGTATTTTGTTTTGTTTTATTTTTTCATTATTTTTGGTTTTTTTGATCAAATCATTTTTGTCGGAGCGTGAGCAGCAGCTGAATATCCTTTTGTTGTTATCTTTCCGGTTTTAATTGTTATTGCTGTCTTACAATTTCGAGACGTGGTTGGAACATTGTGCTTCGTGCACAGCAACTGGCTATTCTGGCTTTATTTCGAATTGGCGCCTGAAGTTGTGGTATGAACTAAGTTGGCTCCTGAATTTGTGTCATGAAATAGAAGATAAGTCGAGGTTGTCTAATATGAGTGAACTCCGACTGCAGATTTTAACGAAAAGAAGTTGAAAATAACTGTTGCGAATTCAACCTATTTCTTAGACGAGCGGTTACGCAATCTGAGTTCTTTTTTGTAAGGTAACTAAAACAATAAATAGCATCAAATTTTTTTTGCTGAATTTCAATATCTGTGTACTGCTGTAATTAAATTAACAGGGAACTGCTTATTTATCTTTTTTCGTGCAATTTCAAAGCCGCTCTTTCTCATTTTTATTAAGAGTAATGAACGTAGTGATTACTCGTTCATAGGTCTTGCTGAATTTTTTTTTCAGGACATATTGGTGCATTTATGAATGCACTTAGGTAAATATGCAATTTTTGAGTTCAATTGAAATTCATCTGCTGAAAGTTACGTTAATAGCACTCTCCAAATACGAACGTGGAAATGGCGCAAAAAAACGTGAACGATTTATTTCTGCTTTCGAAAGTTGAATTTCCAGCGGAACAAAAACTTGACCTATTGATCCAGTTATCTCTAGATGGGTTCATATTATCAAAAAAAGTGGGTATCGTATATTGTTCTGAAAGTTGAAGAAGCGTAAATGGCATCTATTTTTTGTCTTTGGAAATCGAATTTTTTCAAGAATGTCTAACAATTGGTTACTAGTCTTTCTTGTATGCAGAGACGCGAAGTTTGTTAAGTAAACCGGCCACTTTTTGCTATTCGACTTAAATGTTTAAATCTATCTATTATATATTTAAATGCGGGCTTCACTATCTTGCCACGTTTAAGCTTTCCCAACGTATTATTTTTGCTTGTTAAACGAAAGAATTTTTTTCACGTTTAGGCAATATCGTATATTGCAATGGTTGAGAATTTTTCTTATCGATTTATCAGTTTAAATTCAGTGTTTTTGCCGAGTTTAAAATAAGCAGCCCGATAGTGGATGCTGTCTGGGTTCCAATTATGAATACCCAAATGTTTTTAGTGTAAAAGATACGACGATTGTTGTGATTTAAAAAAATTCAGAAAGCTCATTGGGTGTTGGCAGAGTAACCTCAAGGATATCAAATCTTGTCTCCAAATATGACTGCTGCTATCATTGTAGTTTTCGAGATATGACTTGTTTGATGATATCTTAATTTTTCCGAAAAAAAAAGATTTTAAAAAATTGAAAAAATTTGAAATTCTTAGTCTTGTAGTTGGGGGCTCTCAGGGGGATACGAATCTTGCCTTGAAAATTGACCGCTCGACCCTTGTAGTTTTTAAGATATGACGTTTTTTGACTTTTTAAAAAATTTTCAGAAAACTGAAATTTATATATATTTTTTCAATTTTGGAAATGACTTACTCTGTAGTTGGGGACTCTCAGAGTGATCTCAACGGTTGCAAATATTTTTAGTGTACGGGTACGACGATTGTTGTGATTTGAAAAACTCAGAAAACTCATTTTACAAATAATTCCTAAAATTTGAAATTCTCAAAGCTGTAGTTGGGTGTTGGCAGAGTAATCTCAAGGATATCAAATCTTGCCCCTAATTAAGACTGCTTAAATTTTTGTTGTTTTCAAGATAGACGTTTTGTATGGTTTTAAAAAAGTTTTTTTTTCGTTAACTTTAATTTGAAAATTTTCAGAGTTTGAAGATCTCTGCTGGAAATCTTGCGTCCAATTGCGACTGCTCAATTGCTCTTAGTTTCCGAGATGTGACATTTTTTTGTGATTATAAAGGTTTTTAAGTACTTAGATTTTATAACTTCACAAAATTTTTTGATTTTTCAAAATTTGAATTGAAAAAACTTGAAAATTTTTTGAAACTACCAACTTTGTTATTGGGTGTTTGTCAGAGCTCACTCTAAGGATGCTGGTCTTGTTTCCAGTATTTGCGATTGCTTACGAGTACGCAGCAGGTGCGTTACACGCTAGTTTTTAATGCTTTGTTTTGAGTTGAGAAATTCGCATGTTGAAGAATATGTAATATTTGTAATGATTTTTTTTACTTTTCATG